AGTTTTCTTTTTCAGAATTAGTGCACTCTGGAGTTTCTGTTAAAACTAAAGAATGTATTTCCTCTTCCTTAATTAACCTGTCGTATGTATTCACAGAATCATCCTTTGCACAGCCCTAAAAGAGAAGAACAACATTTTTAACAGCGCTTCTTCATGGTGAGCATGGTTTTTTCAGCCCAGTAAGACAGACATGTTTCACAACATATAGCCTGCATTACAGTGAAAAAGCCAAGGCAGCAAGGCAACAAATTGTGCTTGTTAGGGACACAGCTTAGGCCTGGCTGACAGAAGAGTTCTCATCTCCAGAGAGGACAAAGAACTGAAGAATGTTGGTCCCCATCTTAGCTGTAGGCTAAGGGGTGAAGCTCAGGCAGGAGGATGGAGAAGTGAGGATGTACAGGCTCAGAAGAGCTTTCACTGAGACCCTGAGCACATAGAGGAGATCAAGACAAGAACATAGCGTTACTTGGGTCAGTAACAAAGCACTTATCAAAGCATGACAAAGTGTAACAGCTGCCATACTTATGATCCTCACAGTCAAGAGTCCCACCATGACCAACACATGCTGAAATATTTATCTAAAAGGTAGTAAACTAGGAGGCCAGATCCACGCTTTCCACATAGTTCTGGTTTATTATTAGGTGAACTCAGAATACCCCTGTGAAAAAAGGGAATACTGGATTTTGAACCCTGACTCCGTTTGCAATTGGGAGGCCACAAAAGGAGACTTATTTTCAAAAAGTCAGTGATTCCTGCAACTCCTGTTCAACTGAGAACATCCCATGCACCTGCAGCACCAGACACCCAGAGTGTCATTAGTCTCTACAAACCTTTCACAGGTGGCATAAATTTTGCGATGCCACAGCGAGTCAGAAGGTCCCTTCCATACAAGGACTGTTCAGAGAACAACACACATTGCCTCACGTGCAGGTTTGAATTAGGGCTTGTCAGTGTACTTCCCTTAGGATTTTTTATAAAGAGCTAAAGAGTTAGATTTGTTTAGAAACAAAAGTTTCCATAATCAGTACTAAGTTTATTCTTTCTGAAATAAGGGCCTACAGCAAGTCTTTCATCAACCAAAACTTGAAGCAGCTATAGTTAGTGTTGTTCTTTTGGAATGAGAAGTTAAACGTCCTGATTTACTTCATGGCTAACTGACAGTAATAAATGTGAAAGTGCTAAAAATACAATTTTCTAGAAGTCAAATATGAATAGCTTTATTCAGCATCATAAATACGAGCAACTAGTAGATAAAGACCTGAATGTTTAGGAGAAGTAGTTTAATGGAGTTGCAAAAGAAACCCCAAAAAAATACCTACCAAAAAAAAAAAATCCAACCACCAGAAAACCCCCACACCAATCCAAAACACCTACAAGGGACTAGCAGTCTGTGAAATAACAGAATACTGCAATTCTGCTAATGTATCCAGAAAAGTATATGCAATTTGAGGGGAAAAAAAAAAATCCCTCTCAGCTTTGGGTAATTGTTTCTGAACAACTCCTGCTATTGCAAACACTTCATCTTCATACAATATACTTCCTCATATACAGTTGGTTTGAAGATAGACATAGGTGTTAGGAAAAAGAAAATTGGAAGCGTACAGATTCTGGTTCAACAGATCAGTTGGCCCAACAGCTTCTTACTAACCTGGGAATCCTCATTCTGGTCTCCAAACATGAGCTTAAGAATTTCTCTAGGGTCTGGAATTGGTGGAAGAATTAGTATCTTCAGCCTTCAGGAAAAGAAAAGATTTAGATGAAAGATATTAATTTAAAACTCATCATTTCAAAGTCATACTTGGGTGCAGACAAGAAAATTTGTGGAGTCAGCCTTGGCATCACTGGCCAGCCTTTATTCTCTGTGTAACAGTATCCAATTCTTATTTTTACTCCCCAAACCAAAAGGAAATGGGAATATTTACACAGACAGATTCTAAATAACATTCAGTGTTGACAAATACAGTAGCAAACAAGTTTTCCTAAAAAAAAAGTATGGTAAAATATACTTTATATTTAAGCTTAATTTTGAATTTAGACTTACTTGCTTAAAGAGATGGGATGCAATGGCAGTGCAACAAGAATCTAACTGTAAGCAGATATAAGCAAGATTACCCAAGTGCAACCAGACAGAGCACGTGTACGGTCTATAAACCTAATTCTAATGACTGATGAACAATGGTACGACCATTTTTGATATGCAATACATGTTACGGATAAAACAGATGCTGTTGAAACATGCCACATCACGGACAGTTACCTGCAAGAGAGATGTACTGTAATGCAAATCAAAGGCCAATCAGAATTAGTGGACTGTAAATAAAGGGAGATCATTATTTACCTTTTTAGGTAAACTAGTAGAATTATCGTAGATACTGCTACTATTAATGGAATGGTGATTATTAAAACGAAATAGAATGTAGAGTCCATCTTCTCACCTGGAAAACAAAAATCGTAGAAACTTAGGGAAGTTTTGAGAGACTTTTTAGGAATAATGACAACAAATTAACTAATACTCTAATTTGTTCATAGACTGAATTTTTTTCAAATACACTAGCACTTTTGTAGGCAAGGACTAATTTTTCAAAGCATGATATTATAACGTAGATACATTTGGCAAGAAAATGCAAACCAGTGAGATGAGGGCTGAAAAACTGGCAGCACTGGAAAGGGGTTATCGCACAGCTACACGGATGGCAACCCCATCCCGTCAACATACACAGCAGTACAGGCAGTAACTGGTGGCACTGCTGAAGGACTAGAACTCTTGCCTTCCTTTCACCTAAAATTAAATAGATACATAGGAAGATGATCCTCGACTCTCATTTATTTAGCAGACAAAAAGGTATTAGAAGCCTTACAGATGAAGAATAAAGTGCACAAATTGCAGTAGCAATTGTTCTCACCAATACTCTTTTCTTCACTCCAGTCGCTATAGAGCTCGCTGCTGTAACACTCAGGCTTTGGTTTCGCTCTCACTTTGAAGATGTACTTGCTATTAGGATCAATGCTAGGAATTGATGTATAATTATTTTCAACCTAAGGTAAAAAGAAACGATAATTTGCTTTGCTCAATTACCAACGTATTCTCAGTCGTTTACAAGCCTATTTTCATTGTGCTGGTGATGTATTCTGAATGTTTTGATGGGAGATCTTTTTGTGAATACTGAACTTCATAAAAAGGACACAGTAGCATTCATCGTAGAATTTAACCAGCACAGATTGCCTAAACAGAGATTCCAAAACTAAGAATCAATCTTATTCACCGCTACATCTATCATACAGCATTTGGCATCAATGATTAAACTAAGACTCAGTATCTGGAACAGTGCCTTTTTTTGTTTTGAGAAACATCTGTGATTTATGCTGCCTTCCTCACTCTGTCAGGGCAGCAATGCTGATCCAACTTTAACCACACCAAAGTCGTCTTCTGTGATGCCTCTACAGAGACACACATACACACTAGCTGGGATCGAACCTCACTTATTTTTTGATCCAAAATGCCAGTTTCCTGAGGAATGTCGATATTATTCAAGTTTGCTAAACTGGAAGTAGGACAAACAGCTAAATACGCTCCACAGGAGAAGACTGCCACCCTACTTTTAAATTTATCATGTTGTTTACCATTCTGATCAAACACTACAGTCAGTTTGGCTATGTGGATACAGGCATGAGAACATCCAGACACCGAATTCAATGCTTTTTATATGTACATTAAAATCGCTTATGTAAGAGCACACACCTTTTTCTTCCCGCCCCATCCACGGTCTTTTTATCCCCTTGCTTTCTGTTTAACATTCTGTGCTCTTGTGTGCACCAGCAATTAACTTTGCTTTATGGTGATCAAGTCACGGAAGAGCAAGGCAGTCATCTGACCGAGTGCAGACCAACGACAGCAAACCCCAGTACCAGCGGACCAAAGTCCCGTACCACTGAGAATCAAGCAGGTACACACACTGCAGTTTGTTTCCTGGTAAGTGTCGTTTAGTTTACTCCTTTATCAAGAATGTTTTTATATATTACTGCTTTGCCATAACAAATGACGGCAAGGATTCAAGACTCGTATAAGTTGCGTCGTCTAGATATTACTAACAGAAACCTACTGTATGGGAGAAAAATCTTGCGTCCACACAACACTTCAGCTAGCGCACCAGACCTGTTCACATGCAGCATATACAATTTTTCATTTTTAAACAGCAAAAGTTTGAGTTACTGTGAATATCAACACAAATTATAAAAGATACATAGGGAAAAGTAAAATCAGTTAATGGTAAGTAATGAAAAGTTACTTTAATGATCGGAGTGGTGTCCAAATCACCATTGTGATATTTAACTTCATAAAATAAACAATTTTCTGGAAAGGTGTCTGAATGACTCCATTCTACATGTATGTCATCATTAATCTTTGACAGTGTGACTCTTCTTGGCGTAGCAGGTTTTACTGAAATGCAAAATTGAAGAATTAGTTAAAAATTGTGTCTCACCGGTAACGAAAGCGGTTAGAAGTCTTGTATTGCATAATATTACACTTACACTAGTTTAGGAACAGAAAGAAGAAAAAGTTAGTAACAAAAATTAAAGAAAGAATAAAAACAACAAAAGAATAAGAGTAAAAATGAGTTGAAAATAAACAAAAATTAAAAAAAAAAAACAAAAAACAAAACCCCAAACACCAGATATCCAACATCCATCCCCGAAAAACCCTAAATCGAAGATCAATAAAAGCAGGGAGCATCTAATCACGTCTCATCAACAGCTTTTGAGTTGCAAGCTTCTCAAACACAGTGACACACTGGTAAAATTCTTTCTTTATATTTTTCATAATGTAGTGTTAAACTTACCAAGGGTGGTAGGATTTTTACTCGCACACATGGGCCTAATGTCTTCAGAATCATCTCTAATCAAAATACTTATAGCCGGGTAAGTATTGGTGAGCTTTGGGAAGCTAAGCTTGAAAACGCATTCAAAGTTTCCTTGCTCCACAGAATAGTTGTTGCACTTCTCCTGATTTTCCAAACCATCAAACCTACAGGAATAAAAATGCTTTTTTAAACTTCAAAAGAATAGGACAGCAAGGGGCAAGCTTGTTTTTAGACCTATTACGAATTTTAAAAAGACTGATCTTGCATTAAAGCTGTGCTATAGCACATATAAAAGTAAAGCTAAGCAAAGTAAGAAGCTCCTCATTTATCTCAAGATTTAGAAAGAATGTTATTTTTGTAAAGAGTGTCAAGCAGCAGAAATAGAGGCAGGTTTGCTTTATATCCAAGCAAAGGTAACAGCTGCTTTCAGCTTTGGTTCACATTTTCCACATGGGAAAAAATTTCAGGAAAAAAAGTATTTAGAAAGCAAACTAATTTGGATCACTTCCCATCAACAAAACTTCACTTCTGGCATAGCATGAGCTGATCAGTCTCCTTCAGCGATGCCTCAGGTGTCGCAGCTCTTGCTTGAGAGGGTGGAGTTTCACCTATTGCCTGCCTTTGCTTTTCAAAATGGCAGTACTCGCTTCCAATAACAGAGAAGCTGTGACAACCTTCTGCCTTGCTTCTCTTTGTTCCCCAAGTTCCACCTAAAAATATGCCAGTGGCTTTTTCTCCACAGAAAAATGATCTTTTGATTTATTTTCTTTAAGGGACATAGAGTCAAATAAGAGCTTCATTTGCAAGCACAACAGGAGCGATGTTCCCCTACTTCTCATCTCCCTGTGCAGGGGCTGGGGCAGCTAAAACCCTCTCTCCTGCCCTTTCATGCCCAGACCCCTTTTTTACCCACCCTTCTCACCTCCCCCCCGGGGCTGATGAAGACGGGCAGCATTCAGAGCAGACAGCACTGTGCTGATGCATCACCCTGCTCCCACCAGCCCACGTTTCAGCAAGTATTACTGCGCACGGACTGGCTTTGTTTGATCTACGCTAATGTCGTGGTCATGTTCACTTTGGATGAAGAGACGGGGTTTTAGAGGAAAATATCAATCAAGAAGCACATAGAATTGAACTAAGCAATAATTTTTTCAGGTCATTGTTCAGTCATTTCTTGGAAATAAAAAAAAACAAAATGAAGACAAAAAACCCCAAACACACAATGAAAACCAAACTCTCACCTGCATTATGGAAAATGTATCTTTCAGTCCAAAAGTCAAGTGTTTCCTTAGCTTTCAGCTTAACAATTAAGAAAAAAAGTTGTCTTCTTTCTCAGCAGCATGAATCAAAACACTTTGCTGTCACTGCAGCTACATTTTTCATTAAAATTAAGGGGTAAGTTAAAAATATATAGATCTAATTAAGGCATTACTCCAATAAGTATCCATAGACCCAGAAATTCAGATCTTCAATGCCTCATTGGTACTATTCTTGTAATAAAGAAAAAAATTCTCTGAGTATGAGTTTAGAGAGAGAAGAGTTCTCCCTGCATTTAACTAACGCAGCCAGTTTTCAGCTGTTTGCTGTCCAAATGCACTACATTGAACAGTTCGCCTGCCACTGGACGGGAAGAGGGAACAGTTTATGTAGTCGGTTCAGATAAGACAGAAAGAGATTTAAAACTGCAATAAGGCTCTTTCAGAACAAAAACTTCAATATTTCTACAGAAGCTAATGCAATCTGGCATTTCACAAGCCCCATCAACATGCAGACATATGCATAGATCAGCGTGCGCAGATCTTCCTGCCAAGTTTTTGCTCACACCACAACTCTGTTCCTTTGGAACAAGAGTCTATTTATGGCAGTCAGCTGGCAAGCACTGATGATGATAAAAAGATGTTCTCCATAACTTTCAAGGTGAATCGGTTATTTAAGACATAGAAGTTACAAACAAGACTACTGCTAAATGTTATTAGTGCTTTCACACCATTTTCCAATGATTTAAGAGCTGACACAGACATTAGTGAGTGATTCTGACTTAAGTGGCCCATGTCTGTTGGGCTGCAAAGAAAGCAATTAATATATTGGTCTAGCTCCGTTCTCAATTATTCCCTCTCCGAATCCACAATTAGAAAAAGTTAGAAAGCAACAGCAGTTGTTTTCAAATGGGCTACAGAAGCAGACAGTGCTTCGTATAAGAGCAGCTTCCCAAGATGACTCAGCAACAGCAACCTCTTGACCCTTCATCAGTGAAGTTGTCTGTTGGACTGGACCCAGCACTAACTTGTACACAGTGCCCTGGGATCATACAAAGCCACAGGAAGCAGACAAGTAAAATGTGTAATGTCAAACTAAAGATTAGCACTAAAGCACTTTAGAGTTGGGAATACAGAGCTGATACAAACCAGTAGAACAACGTGTAGTTGGTATCACGGCTTGCATTCTCCCCAGGACGCCACGTACAAGCCATGTACTCCAAATTGTGCCAAACACAGTTCAAGCCAACAGCAGCAGTACCTGGAATACCTGCAAGGCAAGTTGGAAAGCTCTCTTCACATTTGTGTTGCCAGCAAAGTCTTCTCCCCAAATTCCAGAAGTAAAACATCCCTTTTTACATAACTGAAACTGGAAGGCAAAGATGGGCTACCTCTCAGCCTGCACTGCCTGTCACAGCACAGCAAACGGTGAATTCCAGTTGCTTATTGCTAGCAAGAGCTGAAATCTCAGCAGGGCAACTTCTAAACACAAGCTAATCGTAACAGCGGATCTAAAGTTTCCACCACGTCTGAATTACTACTTAGAGTTACCTGATGCTAAGGACGAGGTGTTGAGTCAGGGAAGTATTTTGTTTCTATTAAACTTCAGATACTTTAAGAAGGAGTTAAAGTAACTGGCAATTATAGGGATAGCACTTAGCTTTGTTATAGTTATTACAGCCATCAATGTTGAAATAGTCAGCATTTAATTACAGTTATCTTCTCCACATACAACATTAGTTTCTCAGTATTCTGAATACGGAAATAACTGTAGATCTTAAATATGGACAAAAGCAACACTGGGGTAAATTAAATTTTTACCTGAGACACATATGTGTCTAGACATTTGACTTCAACATATTGAAGACCCAAATTATAGGATGTAAATACAAATGACTACACAGCAGTTGTGAACAGAGTTGTCAATGTATCTTCCAGGCAGAACAATTAGGGAATAACGTCTTTAATATTCAATCTTGCATATCTGTGGCACATGTTCTTTATACTGTATTATCATATTATAGCATATTAGATATTTTTCCTTTTAACAAGTTGCAAGTTCTCCAAGAACTAAAAAAAAATGTTATTTTTATCAACAGTCCAGACTTTTCTTGATAGCAAACCCGAAACTGCCTTCTACTTCCAAGCTTGCATTCTTCCTGAAGTAGCGACTGTCTAACAGTATAGAAAAATGAAACTGGTTTTCCTATTCCAAGAAGTGTTTAAAGATACTTTATCTGCAAGCAGACTTGTAAAAGCTGCAACCCGTTTAGTACATGCTGTCCTAACGATCTGCTGCTCCGATTTTCCAGAATACCCTTCTGACAGACACACAGATAAGCCTGATCAGGTCTCAGATTCTCCCATCCAAATGCAGTTTTGGTGCACATTGAGTCACAGTACTGGGTTAGACAGACTTCTACTATTCAAGGCAAGAGGCTCTATTTCCTTGCTGTATCTCCTAGCTTCCAGCATCCAGCAGAACACATTATTCCTTAAAGTCTGCTTCCTAACACTTATGCTATGGGCCCCTTATTTCTGGATGTCAAGGAAAAAGATATTTTTTCTCTATTCACTTTGCTAGGCACAGCTTTGTAGACCTCAGTCATCTCTTTTTCAAAAGAGAGAACCCTACTATCATTATTTAATGAAGTCACTTATTTATTCAACAAGTTGTTAAATTTGCTAGATTCATCGCTCTATCATTTACAAATGTAGGGCTATTTTAGGGACTTAGGCTCGTACAGAAAAATCATACAAAATAAACTTACTTAGATGTTAGTCACGAAGTCAACAGGGACAAGAAGAAGGACAGGAATCGTATTGTTGCTTTGGAAGCGCATTTAAATTTTATAAGCCTGCCCATAAGGTTTTAAGCATCAGAAGACTCTGGTTGTGTTTAAATGTAGGATCATCATTCTGTGTAAGCTCTATCACTTGAACTAGCCCTTGTGTCTGGTATCTCCCTATTTCTCTATGATGTATTTCTACGATATTTTGTTAAAATAGGACAGAACACAAGGCCGTGTCTCCCCAGGCTGAGAGGGGCACGTTTGTCCCGGGTCTGGCGACAGCACGTATTACCTTTTGGCAGGAGAGCGGTCTCCACCCATCGGCTGGGCTCGCTGGTGTTATCGTACTTGCATTCACTTCTCACTTTGAAACGCATTTCCTCATTCAAGTACGTATGTGTCACACGGAAGCGACTCTTACTCCATTCCTGGGTTTAGGGGGGGGAGGGGGGGGGGAGAAAACCTGAACATCAGGCATACCATATCAGACACATGAGAATTACTATTAGTGTAAGAGTACATTACAGCCCCGGAACAAGACTGCAACTCAAAGCCATAACCAAAAAGCAAGGAGAAGAGTTTGCATGGATTTAAGGAGCGAACGAAAAAAATTCTCAGAACAAATCCACAAGTGGCTATTAATTACAAGACCACATCAGACCCAAGTAGTCCACGAGCTTCTATATTCAGAAGAGAGCCTGTGTTTGTGTGAGAAGAAGGCTTATCCTTTTCTCATGTGCTTTCTTGAGCATCTTTCATTGGACTAGTGGGATACCTTAACTGGAATCTTAATAACTTAATTGGAAACAGGATACACACACACACAAAAAATCTTTGTTATGACCAAAGAATGGTGTAACTACTTGTGTATTAAAAATATATATATACAGTGGCACTAATGAGAGGGCAAGAAAATCAAACAGCAGTGAGCAGACTAGTTCTACCAGCTGCAATGCAAAAAGATGTAACCAAGATGTTACACAGTCTGGCTCATCATGCCGCGTGAAACTGCTGTCCCACAGCTCTTTCACAGCTGCTGACCCTAACATCTGTTAGACCCTTCCACAAACTCATTCAGCTCATTAACCAAGCAGACTTTCAACTTGTTAATTTGCTAATGAACCCATCAGAAGAGGTAAATAGGTTTCTGTTGTGTTAGCAAGTTTGACTGGCTTATCTAAAGGTCTGCTGGAGATCATTAGAGAAGCGAGTGTCAGAGGTGAAATATCACCCTTTTAGCAATGTTAAGCCATTAAATTGGCTCAGCTGTTTGTGAAACCACAGCCTTACTTCAAGTTCAGGATATTCTGGAGCTATCAGCAAGAGAACGGCAGTCACTGTGAAGAGCCCATTGTAGACAGCAAGCCATAAAACCGTGACACGGCTCAATAACAACGGAGTGTTTCAACGGACTTCATATCGATTTTCACCATATTCGAAACAGCAGCGCTGCCAAATCCACAGTCAGTGCGTATTCAGGGCTTCAAATTCTGACGGTTTGGAATTATGGACCCATAGCACATTATCTTGCTGGCAATAAATTGTAAAAAGACTTCTCCTACAGCCCCTTCAATGCCATGGAAATGCTGCTCTTGGTCCTGACCAAACAGCTGTTAATCCACACCAAGGAGCACATCTGGGCTGCAAACCATCCAACAGAGAAATAAAAACAAAAGCCAAAACCAAAGAAGTTTTACAATTTCTGTTCCAGGGAACACATGTGTTCCATGTTGTCTTCACAACACCACTCCCATGGATAATCGTAAGCACAGGCACTGGGATGGGGCAAACGCAGGAGTGCCTTAATGCTTGGCATTACCTCCAGAAGGCACTGTCCGGTCAAACGACAGCTACGCCAAGGTTAACGTGCACACCTCTTTCTTAAATTGAGCTCAGAGTGAACGAGATCAGCCTTTGCAAACGGCCGTTTAAGTCTTAAGGATGTAGATTGCCCTGTATGTATTATATTTTTTCTAGAAAGCTGCACAAGCAAAGACTGAAACAAGTCTTTTCACATTATTACGGTACTTCGGTGTTATCAGTAGCAGCTCAATTATCAGAGAGTGACAGATTTTTCCGATCTGAAGATCCCACATGCTGGTGTGACTCGTTTTTGAGGTTTTGATTCCATGACAAGCATTCAAGGCTATATTAAAACTGTATTTATATATATTTATAGCTGTATATATGCATACAGACACACCATTTTACCAGAGTAAGACACTTACGGGAGCACAGCAGAGTTTAAAGAGGCGAAGCACTTACTCTTTTGTCCTGAGGGACCTCATCAATCACGATGTCGCTGGAATACTCCAGGTCGCAGCTACTGCTGACGTTCTCTGGGGGGTTCCACGTCCAGTTCAGGGTGCACATCTGGATAAACGAGTAGTCCAGGTTGGATGGAGGAGGAAGAACTTTTGCTCCTAAAAGAAAGGAGTTATCAGTGTAACAGTCCTGTTGGTCCACATTTTGCCATTACTAATACCAACAGATTTTTAACTCTCCAACACAAAAGAACACAAATGACTTCGCAACTTCATCAGCTCGTATTTGCTATCAGACAAGCTACTGCCCACTAAATTGTTTCTACTATTCCTGTTATCTCAGTCCATTAATCATTTAAACAATTACAAGAAACACACACAAAAATAACTTAAAAGTAATTTTTAAGAATTTGCAGCATGCTACAACGTAGTGGCTGTGGTAATGAAATTTAGGCGCATGGAGGGAAGACGAGTCTCATGTTTCAGTTCTTTTCTGTTGTGAGTTTGCATCAGGCATATTGAATCTTTAGTAAAAATAGGATATGCATCTTGTGGAGCAATTAACACTTTACCCAAAAAATATCCATCAATGCAGCTTTAAAGAGAAAACTTTAAAAAGACAAGTGATTACATCTTGCAAGTGACAGCTGTAGATTAGAACCACAATTTAGCCCAATCCAAGCAAAAACGAGAATGTTATAAAACAACAAAGAAACCACAATGCTTTTTCAATTACTCACCTATTAAACTTTTAATGCTATGCTCTGGCACTGTGAGCAAAACCAGCGTGGGACAAACAGTAATTCACTGCTGGCGCACTTCAGCAGTGTATTTTTTCACCTCCCCAAAAGCAAGATAGAAGCAGAGGAAGAGCCATGACTCAGAGATAGTTGCTGGGATAAACCCATTTGTGCCTTGACCCTTCCTTAAGCTTGTGCACTGAGTCACAGCCTGCTGAATGTCCACTCACACAGCTTGAAGGTCGTGTTAGAAAACAAAGATGGGAAATACAGCAGAAAACAGAAAACTGCCAGGAAAAGTTGAAGGGTGTGTTAGACTCCTATCTGAGAAAAAATTACCAGCTGGTAATTCCCTAAGAAAATGAAAGTGAATTTTGTTTTTTTTTAGAAGGCTACTCTAATGTGTACTAGTAGAAGATATCAAGAGGCCAAATGAGACTGCTTCTCAAGGGTACCTACAGGTATCACCACTGAGGCACCACCACCTACTTGCCTGTGGAAGGAAAGTACCCTTGTTACGCAGTAGTTTCACAAACACTTCAAATTGATATCAACTAGCGCTGCAGGTCTTCCTCATCCCAAAGAACTTGCTCATCCCTGGGAACCAGGCCCAACCCGCCCCAACATTTAGGGGAGCGCATAGGGAAAGGGCAGAATAATTCCACTAAGAGCAGGTTTCCCATCCAGGTCATGGTGCAGCCCCGTTTCCTTTTGGTAGCACAAAGGAGAGGGCAGATGGAAAGGCAAAAGAGCTAATTTAAGCAAGAATTCTGCTCAAAGCATCCACGACACCATTATCTTACATGTCGCCAGAGCTACCAAAGCCTCAAGAAAATTCATCAGACTTCTGGAGCTCTCTCAGACCTTTGCATAGTTAAAGGACAGGCAATGGTAGAGATCAGACATTCTTACCATCTGCGTGTATGTGCGGATAATGTATGCGCGCACAGAAAATTAGAATAATTACTAGGATTTACTGTTTTAGTCTGAATAAGCTTAGCTTTTTTGAGTACTTAAACCACTCGGGATTTTTTGTTTGTTTGTTCAGTTTTACAGCTGACCTCGGGAGCAGAAAAGAGAAATTTTTGTTCTTATAAAAATATAGTCTCATCTGAGAAAACTGAACCTAGCCAGAACATCTTGGCCTATTATCTGTTCCACTAACAAAAACTTATGATGGGTTCTAGGAACAGCATCAAGGCCTTAAGTTTGCAAACACCAAGTCCTTTAGATTAAAAAAAAAATATTCAACAGAACTACACATCTCCAGGCATTCTGTCTTTTCATGATCAAACTTCTTCTTGCCTACAAAAGCCACAAACCATTAAAAAAAATTAGTGTCATCCCCGATTGCCGTTCTGAAGTCCTACACATTTCCTTTTAATTGGTTTGGTTAGAAGTAATTATGTTTACGCTTGGAGCTTTCTAACTGCATAAAGTAAGAAGTTGGAATATTCGAGGTTTATAAATAAATCAATAGATTGTATTAACATAAAAAGTTTAAATCTAATAGATTTTAGATCAATCTCTACAATTCCGAAGCTCGTGCTTTAACGCTGGATTCAGCTGAAGATTTGCTTTTATTTGTAGGCTTGGCTGGTCTTGTACCTTTGTTGCAAAAAATACACATGCGGTCTAATACTTCTGTTATTAAGATCTCACCACTGCAGCAATTTAGCGGAACAACTCAAAGACAGCTATGAAACAGAGGCAAGCCGTTATTTCACTCTATAAAAACAAAACCCTGGTGATGCTCCTGATAAAGCGCAGCAGCGACCAGCAGAGCTCAGCCCAGGCAATCCCGCCCCGACAGCGTCTGATTCTCAAAGCGGCAACGTGGAAACATCAACAAATACTTCGCATCAAGTAGCATAAAAGTGTTGTCAAGTAGACTTTGTATTTTGTTCTCCTGAGTCTCGTGAAGGTTGATTTCGTAGCTCTAAAACGAACTGGAGCGGGTTGAAAAGTGCCAACCCTGTACCGTCTGCCATCGCGCTTTGGCGTAAGGTTAGCGGCGACAGCGCGTAAGGCTTCGGGCCCCGGTTCACGCGAAACCCTCTCAGACACACACACCTTTCCTACAACTGAGCGTTCGTGCTTCCAAAAGCGAGGAAACTCGGAGTAACGGCAACCGCCGGGGAGCAGGCGGAGAGCGC